ATCTAAAGATGGTCAATATTATGTACAAAATTATGTCAGTATAAAGTTTTAATTTTGATATTCATTTTAATTAATTAAAATAATTTCTTTATACTTTAAAATTGTTTAAACTATTTCAGTCAAATGAAAATCGATTACATTTGTGAAAACCTATATCTGACTTCGACCTTTTTGCCTTTTTAATAGTGATATTCGTCTAATAAATTGTGTGTCAATATTGTATACAATACTGTCAATAAAACAGTACAATTCGGTTTCTAAAAAAATGCTTTAAAATTACTGTAAACGTTAACGTCATAACAAATATCACAACGGAAATGGTTCTCTTTAAATAAGAAAAGTAGACCTGTTTAATAACCCAAAATGTTGTTCTAAAAATTGAGAATGGGTTGCTTTCGTTTCGTACTTAATACATAAATAGTCTTGTTAAAGCAAAAAGCAGCTTTAGAATAGGCTTATTAGCAGCTTTAGAATATATTGATCTGATTTCTTACCATATTTTAGGTATTATTTAGGACATCATATTTTAAGTATTATTTATAAGAATACATTTGTAGCAAATATTACTTATAATACTTTATAAAACATTATGTAATTTCGAATTAGATTTTCATAAATATCTTTTAAAAATTTTTATTTATTCATTGTTGCATATTAAGACTACTAGCAAAAGTACATTCTACAGTAATAATAAATTCAAATCAGCTGAATTTCACATATTTTTACCTTTAATTCAATAAAAAATATGTTTTTTATTTTGGTTTGAATTATATTTTTATTCATTTTTAATTTTTTTTTAAATAAGATGAAATATCCGTAGAAATCTAAATTATTATTCCATTTTTATTGAATATTATCATTTTAACCATTTTAACCATTATTCATATATAGAATATAGATTACAGCATATGAAATTACATTGTCAGTATTAGGAACACAAACTGTCAGTAATAGACACAAACATTTGCGGTTATGTCAATATTAGGAACATTTTTGCTTTTCATTTTTAATCGAAAAATTATGAATTAAAAAATATTTTGATTAAAAAATTTTATAAAAAACATTATTCTCAATTATCCAAATTATTCAAAAAATCGGAAACACGATCATTTATTGTGTCCCACATATAAAATATCTCACGCCAAAGTTGAATTTGTTGCGAAATATGTCAGTAATAGGGACACTTACCTTAACTGCAAAAAATTAAACATAAATCAGTTTTGTGTTTATAGACATAGCAAAAGTAGGTTGCATTGAAGAATTTCTTGTACTTTTTGCTTAATTTTTCCGATTTTGTTTTTATTGTTTTTTGATTTAAGTGAGGGTTAAAAATATATGTATTTATATTAAATTAAATATTTTGATTATTTTTTTTGCTTATTTTATAAGTTAGTCGGAGTAAAAACGTTAAATAAATAAGAATTTTTAAAATTTATTTCTGTCAGTATTATAGGAACATCTAAAATTCGACCCTGCTTCGATTACTGACATATGTGTCAATTTGCTTTTTATTTTTGTTTGAATTATAATTTGATCCATTTTTTAATTTTTTTGAACAAGATGAAATATCTGTAGAAATCTAAATTTTTATTTCATTTTTATTGAATATTATCATTTTAACCCTTTTGAACCATTATTCATATACTTATAGAATGTAGATTACAATTTTTTGCGCATAGATCAATATTAGGAACATTTTTTCTTTTCATCTTTAATCGAAAAATCATGAATTAGAATATATTTTTATTAAATAATTTTGTAAAAAACATTATTCTCAATTTTCTACATTATTTAAAAAATCAGGAACAGAATCGCTTATTGTGCCCAAAATATCTCACATCAAAGTTGAATTTGTTGCGAAATATGTCAGTATTAGGGACACTTACCTTAAATATATTTAAATTTTCTTAAATATGTATGTATATAAAGTTTTACCTTTATGATACCTTTGTTTATGTATTTTCAAGTGTGTATTTTAAATTTTAAAGTAATACATTACTTATTGCTTACGTTATCAGTTTTAACCTACATTTACTTAAAAATATTGGCGCGAAGTAATATGAATTTACATACAAAAAATTAAGTATTCTAAAATTAGGTATAAATTAAATTAAGTAACGAATTCTTGTTTCTTTTGTTTGGTTTTTTTCGTCATTTTAAGAATCCGTTAAATTTTTTAAAGTAAATAATTGAATATGTGCACCAAGATATTATTATTTGCCGCTATTATGTGTTGTTCACACTGTATAGCTCCATATTCTTAAACTAAGTATTAAAAGTTCTCGTAACATAATATTTAATGTCTTTTTCTTAACTAACATAAAAATTTTTAAAAGTTGTGTTAATTTTTAGAAATATTATGCATTAACAAACACAATGTAGTTAAATATATGTATATATGTAGGCTACTTATACCGACTATAACTTTCGATAGTTCAGACATTCACTTAAAACTCGAATCAAGTATCTATAAATCAAACTTTAAATGTCAATCAGCCCATTTCAACTAGGACTCAATAGAAATAAGATTTGTTTGATTGACCACAAATTTAAGTTAATCACTACAGAATTTAAAAATTTAAATTTTCGTTAGTTTAGTTATCGATATATGCACAAACTATTTTAAAACTTAGCAAAATTGAACAAAAATATATGTATATCCGTACCATCAACCCGTGCAATTAAAAAATCAAATTTTTTTCAAAACCAAAATGTTTACAAATAAACAAAAATTATTAAAAAAACCGAAAAGCCTTGGGATTTTTTGTTTTTACTGATATAAAAACATTACGGTATAAAGTTTACCAATATCTCTGATCTTGATATATTGAACTATACTTTCTGTACTGTTAAGATCGTCATATTGATGTGTTACCTCTCAAATCTCAATATGAATCCTAATCGATTTTTACTTTTCTTTATTGGAGTAACATCACAAATTTATGTTAAACGTAGAGGAACAAGGGAAATCCGGAATTATAACACTATTATATAGTACGGTTTTTTCAATAAATTTTCATTATTCATGTACACACAGCATATTATACCAGCGTCACAATACATAATAGTGCTTGCGCATAAGTAAATAGTTCAATTTGCAAATCTTTTTTTTTTAAGTTTATATTACCTTAATTATTTTATGTATCCATTGCTTATTGCTAACTAATTATAATTTTATTATGGATATTTTATAACTTTCCATTAACTTTTCAATAGAAAAATAATTTTTAGGTTTATAAAATGGTTTAAATTTTATTTTTTCTTCTTTTACTAATATTAAATTAAAAAATATATTATAATTATTATAAGTACTTATATAATAATTTGAAGGTGAAAAACTCTCATTTTTGATTTGTTACGAATTCTTATTGCCAAAATTTCAAAGGTTGAAAATCTCAAAATAAATTATTAATAAAAATTAAATGAAATTTTATACGAAAATTACAAATTTGTTAATAATTTAAGCATAAAATGTTAATTATTTATAAAATAGTATTAAATGTGGATTTGTAGATCTTGTAACAAAAAGTAGACTGTGCAATTCGACCCATTGTTAAAAAATCTACATTAAATATTATGCCTTCAACTAAGTGCATAAATGACGTCTACAGTAATCTCCGAGGCCAATCTTTTCAGTAAATTTGCATATTTCAAAAGAATGTGCATCGAAGTCTTTCCTTTTTTCCACAGAATCTATAGACACCATCGTCCTCTGAACCTTTCTAATTTGGCATTTTGGTATTTATTCATGACTTTTCTGTAACATTTCTGGTCATAGTGATTTATTTTCTGAGCTCCTTCAACGTAAAAAGGAGTTATCACTCTTCACTAGCACTTAAGCCCGTTTATTACCTTCTATTCCAACGTGTCGTGATATGTAGCACAGAGCTACCGAGTTGTGCTCGTATTCATTTTGTCTTTAAAGATAGCCCAACACTCGAGCAGTTTTTCTCGAAGCTTTACTTTCTAAACAATTTGTTCTTGGGCATATGAGCGAGTGGAATGTCAATAGAAAATTTCTCATGGTCCCTAAAAAATCCTCGACTCCTGCCGCCGTGAATTATTCAAGGTTAAAAATTCTGAATGCCCAATTTATACTTTGGTCAGTACATATAAAAGCTACTCTGTTCCAATGCTCATGATTTGGCACTCTGTAATCTTGCAAATCCCAACATGCTGTCAGGAGAATGAGTTTCCTCAAAGATGTCGAGATCATCAATTTGGACTTTTGTAGTCTCGCAGTCGCCGTGCCCGTCTTTTACTTTCGAGCAAAAGTGCTAAAGCTTCCCACTCCCAACTAGGTTTCTCTTTTCAACACTTTTTCTCTTGTAATTAAAGTGTTCTTATACTGAAATTTCCAACAAGAACTCACCTTGCAGGTGAGTAGGGATATAAACAATAAAGGTGAACTCCGTCGGTGAGGCAACTGTCCGTTACCTGTAAAGTATGTTAATGCCACAACTACTTCCGTACTTTTTCTATTTGCGTTGATGCGGGTCTTGACAGCGGCTATTTCTCTTAGCGTGAATACCAAAAGTAAAACAAAAATAATACATTTTCTTATAAGAATGCAAGTTGTGCATAGGTCGTGCCCACAATCCCACACTACCTCTACATGTTTTGGCGTGGTGGATTTTCACCTTGGTTCGTCAGAATTTTCCTCTGGTCCAGAAAACGCAGGTCTCTCTAGAAACATGATTCTAACTATCCACCTCACCACGTTGCCTGAAACCTCGTTCGGTATTAAATGTTAATTTCATCTTTATTTGAAAAAAAAAATAACAAAGATTTGGCATATTCGTTAATTCAAAGGTGAATTTGGGTGAACCACTACTATCTTTAGGCAAAAATTTATGAAAAAAAAATCAATATACTTAGTTATTTTATTTTTTTCATAAAGGAATATAAGTACATTAAATTTTATACCCCTTACACATTTTTTTTCAAAACTAAAATAGCTATTCATTGAAGTTTTTTATTTTTTCTTTTTTTCTTTTTAGAGATTTTAATCAATAAGTTTCTTCACAAACTTTAAGAAATATATCTAAATGGCAAAAATGGATGTCGACGATGTTGTAGATTTAAGTATTGCATCTGGACAAGAACCTTTAACTACCCCTTCAACTGTTCAAGGGCTAAGAGCCATAGAAGAAAATTCAAATTTTACGTTAACTCCACTACAAATAGATAGCGAACAGCATAATTCCAACAGTGAAATTGGTGTTAGTAACAGCGATAATGATAAAAATAAAAACGTTGATGATGATAACCATCGTGATAATGTTAAAACAAAAGAAGATGATAACAACATAAATAATAATAACAATAATAATAATAATAATAAAAATAATAATAATAATAATGATAATGATGATAATGATGGTAATGATAAAAATGATGATAAGGATAATAATAAAAGTAATAATAATAGTAATAATACAAATATCGATAACACTAATAAAAACAGTGATAATAATAATAATACCAATTCTAAAGGAATAGATCCAGATATTGATAAAAACTATAGTGACTGCAAATATAATAGTAATAATGATAATAACGACAGTAATAATAAAACTGAAGCCAACAACGGAAAAAATAATAATGACGATGGCGAACATAATGATAATAATAAGAGTAATAATAATAATGGAAATAATAATAACAAGAATAATAATGACAACAATAATAGTAATAATGGTAATAAATATAATATTAATAATAATAATAGCAATAATAATCTCAATAACGATCGTAACAACGATGTTGTTATTTGCGGAAAGAGCAAAGATAACACAAACAACAATATAAATAAAAGCAGTAGTAGCGATAATAATAACAAAGATAACAATAGTAATAAAAATGATGACAAGAAAAATAACAAAAGTAATGATAATGATGGAAATAGCAACATTGATACAATTTATGATTACAGCAAGGTTAGCAGCGGGAGTAAGGATGGTAAAAATAAAAATTTTGAAATCGAACCTGGTAATAGTTTTAATAAAAAGCTAAATGAAAGTGAGAAAAATAGAGGTAACAAAATCAATAATGAAGATCGTGAAAGTAAAGTTAGTAAAAGTAACGATAACGATATAAATAATAGAAATGATAATGACAACAAGGACCTTAATGAAAGCACAAGTCATCAAAATAATGAAAATGTTAACAATAAAAATAATAACAAAGTTGATGAAAACAGTAATAATAAGAAAAATAAAGAAATCAATAATGATAATAATAATGAACCAGAAGCTGACAAAAATAAAAACAAAATTGTTGATAATCAAAATGATAATAGCTCTATTGCTAATTCGAGCAAAAGTAGTAAAAATTATTCTGGTAATAGTAAAACCAAGAATGATGATAATAGTCATGTTAATGACAACAACAAAAGTAATAATAGTAAGAATAAGAATGATATAAATACTAATAGCAATAACGGCAATAATATTATTAATGTTGACAATGATAATAGTAGTTATGGTAACAATGATAGTGAAAATAAAACCAATAGCAAACACGCAAGTAACAAAGAAAGCAGCTGTCAAAATAAAACCAACGATAATGCGGGCCAACACGATAACAATATCAATATCAATAAAAATGAAAACCGTAGTTTCAATAGCAACAGCAACGCAATTAATACAAGTAACCATAGTAGTGCTACCAATATGAGAATTGATAATATTAGAAATAACGAAAATAACACGGGTAGCAAAAATTGTAATGATAACAGTAATAATAACAGTAACAATAATAATAATAATAATAATAATAATAATAATAATAATAATAATAATAATAATAATAACAGTAATAATAATAATAAAAACAATAACAACAATAACAACTTTAACAATAACGTAAATGATAATGATGATGATAACAACAATAATAATGATAATATTACTAATAACAATAATAATAATAACAATAACAATAATTATAATAACAATAATAATAATAATAATAGTAACAATAGTAATAATAATATTACTATTAGTAGTAATTTGAATATCATAAACAATTCAAGTAGTGAAGATAAACCAATGAGACGAGTTCTACGTCCCAGAACTGAACCAAAATCTTATGCTGAGGCACCCGATATTGTCCTTTTGCCAGCTTCCAGGGTTAATGGTAGGCAAAGTAATCATCATCGTCAACAAAATGGAAATATTGATTCTGAATCAGATTATGATAGCGATGAAGAATTACCATTGCCTCCGCTTCCACCAATGAAAGAACTCACATCTGAAGAAATCAAAAGGCGTGATATTGAATTAAGGAAATTAAGAGAAGATTTAAGAAATGAGGAGACCAAATTAGTTTTATTAAAAAAATTAAAGCAATCCCAAATAGTGCTAAAAGAGAACTTCATTGTAACACCGGCTACAATTTCGCCAACTTCAAATCCATTAACTGCTATACCACAAGCATTAACCAAAGGCAGTTTAAGTGTAACCCCAACGACAGCGGTGCCACTACCGGCTCATGCTAAAAATACTAGAAGTAACGTAACAGCATTAAAGTAAGCTCTTTAAAAAAATGTAATACATAAAGTTCTTTTTAAATATTTCTTTTTTAGTAACAGTAACCGGAACCAACAAATAACAATTGGAAGGACGAATTCAGTACTTCCCCCTCCCAGATCTTCCCTGCCAGGTGGAGCAACTCTCACCGCTAGTAGTCCATTAAGAAACAACACAATATTGCCAAGAACAGGATCGAATCTCACAATTACGCCATCAGTGACAATAACACCAACATCTGCCCCTCCAGCTGGAGTAAAACCACGCAATGTGAGTCGCAGTAATGTATACAACCAGTTTATAATCAAAATGAAAATTCAATTTATTCTCCTCTGCCACTGCAACAATTTTATTCAGATAATAATAATGCTTATTTATTCCAATTTTAACTTCCTTCTATTCAGAAATTATCACTCTAAAAAAGAAATCATTATTATATATGCCTATAAACATATTATATACTCCTATATACAAACTCTGTTTCAAATCTGTCCATGTTACAATTCTGCTAGAATATTTAGGACAGTTTTTTATGAGTATTTTTCTAATTATATTGATTAATTGTAAATTAGATTAAAATAAATTTTTCCTACATACACGTAGTAACTAACAAATCTCTTTATTACGTCTGTGATCAGTATTTAAATATTTTAATTGACCTAAAATAACATAAACATAATATAAATTATAATGCAAGCAGCTTACTGTTACGGATAATCCCAAACAGGTACCTGGAACAATCAGTAATTCAGTTTCCATAACACCGGCCCCACCAATTAAACAGCAGCAGCAAAACGAAAATTTAAAATCCAAGGTATTATTTAATACATCTCCTGTCAAAGCTGGTATTAATTTAAATTCTTTTGTGCAGAATGAACGTATTGCATCGAGAGAGGATGTGCAAACTCCAGCTCAAAGACAGGCGGCAGCTAAATTAGCTCTTAGAAAGCAATTGGAAAAAACATTGCTCCAAGTAATTGATAATTTTTATTTTATGAGAACAAAAATTTACAAATATTTACGATTACAACAGATTCCTCCACCAAAACCCCCGCCACCCGAAATGCATTTTATACCAAATCCAAGTAATACAGAATTCGTATACTTGCTGGGTTTGGAAACGGTTGTGGACTATTTAACTACCAAAGATCAAAAATCTACAGTTTTACCTCCATTTAGATGCGCTCAATGTAAAATTGATTTTACGCCGGTTTGGAAATGGGAAAAACAAGGTAGTTGTATTTAAGGATATATACTTTTTCAATAATTTAGACAAAACGGTTAACAATTTCTAAACTTTATGAAACTAATTCGCTTTATATTTTTTAGGAAGCAAAGATCCAAAAGTTATATGTGAACAATGTGTCACAACTAATGTTAAGAAGGCACTGAAGGCGGAACATACTAACCGACTGAAGACTGCTTTCGTAAAAGCATTACAACAAGTATAACTTTATAAAAATATTTTGAAAACTGAAGAAATATATGTATTGTTGGTTATTTTAGGAACAAGAAATTGAACAACGATTAGCTTCGCAAAACAGTCCTTCACCTGTGGACTCTCATTCTTCAACACCCATTACTGTAATTCCACATCAGCAACCACCTCAACCGATAGTATCTGTTCAACCAATACCAATGAAATCACAAACTCCTACGCCATCCCAGACTCCAACGCCCCGTCCAACCCCACCTCCTCCACTACCACCTGCACAAGTTACTATAACTCCACAACCTTCACAACATCATCATCATCAGTCGCATCAGTCACACCAATCACATCAACATCAGCACCATCAAGCTCATCAATCACTTCAATCACATCAGTCGCATCAATCACATCAATCTCATCAATCCCATCAGTCACACCAGTCGCATCAGTCTCACTCCTCACATCAATCTCATCAATCCCATCAATCCCATCCAGCTCATCAAGTTCATCAATCTCATCAATCCCATCAAACTCATCAATCACATCAGTCACATCAGTCACATCAATCGCATCCATCACTTCAAGCTCATCAGTCACATCAATCACATCAATCGCATCAATCTCATCAATCACTTCACCAACAATCACACCAAGCTCATCAGTCACATCAGTCACATCAATCTCATCAGTCACACCAAGCCCATCAAGCACATCAATCTCATCAGTCACATCAGTCGCATCAACCACAGTCACAAACCCGTCAGCACCAATCACAACAGCAACATCAATCACAACAATCAATTCACCATCATCAATCACATCATTCACACATGCAGCAATCTGGACAACATCCTAAAAGTCAACCGACACCTCCTCCGCCGTCCCGAACACCGAGGCATGAGCAAAATGCCACACCGACACCATCTTCTGCTTCATCATCAGCTTATGACAAATATTCAAATGCTGCTGCTGCTGCTGCTGCAGCTCAGTTAACTGCATTAGGAAGTTTAGCCGGTTTACCAATGAATTTGGGAGCATTAGGAAATTTAGGAAATTTAGGCAATCTTGGTAACCTTGGTAATCTAGGAAATCTCGGTAATCTTGGAAGTCTTGGGAATCTTGGTAATCTTGGCAATATCGGTAATTTAGGTAACTTAGGAAATGCATCACCTGCTGCTACAACTGCTGCTATGCAAGCTTTTCAGCAACAGCTATTTAGGGGTAAGTTAAAAGATTATTATTTTTTTTCTGTAGTCATCAATGAAAGAAAATTGCAGGCTTACAGCAAGGTTTAGCATCTGGAAATCCTCAACAACATCATATGTTTACACCTCTATTATATTCATACCATTTGGCATTAGCGCAAGCAGCTGTTGGTACGTAATTTTTTTATTAAACTTAAAACTTGTATTTTTAACCTATAATTGCTTTAATTTATATATATTTTATGTTTTATGTTTTCATATTTAGCTGGAAAAAATCCACCAAGTCTAGCAGATATTCAAAGAGCAGCAGAAATACAAAGGCAATATTTACTTGAAATGATACCACCTCAAGCACCTGGACCTAGTAATAGCCGTCAGAATAACTGGAAAACTTAAAATTAATTTTAAACTATATATCAGAACTTAAAATAATTTTTAATGAACTACTTTTAAATTTAGACTTAAGACATTTAAAAAATCTAAAACTTTAAAGAAAAGAAACGAAAAATAAGATTCCAAATTATTAACTAAATTTCTTAGACACATGTTATGTATATATTTCTATATTCATATGTATATATATTTATGCATATGTACATATATATATAATACATAAATTTTAACTAAGAAATTATAAAAACATAATAATAATATGAGTATCCCTTATAAAATTATTAGATACGTATGTTATAGATACATAATTGTATAAAATAAATTCTAATATTCTTTTAAGTCATAGCTAAAATATTTATTGTAATGAATAAATTATACAATAAGCCATTGCATGCTCGCATTTTATTTCCATTAAAAATGATAATAGCATTTAAATACTAAATGAAAGGAAAAAGCGGAAAGATTATGTTTTTGAAATTTAGTCAATTCCCTCCTCTACAAATACATATTTTAACATTATTCGTCAACACTTTCATCTATCGAATAGAAAATCAAAAATGCTTCAAATTATACAAAACAATAAGTGCTAAAATAACTTATAAATTCTAAAACTATGCTTTTTATTTTTTTTTAAGTTTAAGAATATAGCTACGAAAAACAAAATGAAACTGCAAAAGATTCTCACTTTAAGTTCAATATTCAATATTGGGATGGGAGTATGCATCGTGGCTAATTGCGTATTTATTCAGTATAATGTTTGTTTTAACTGAAAACTTTTGTATGTTTATTATTTTCGTAGTAGTTATTCATTACTACTTTTTTAATCTCTAAGTATTTTATAATTTTATTAAAAAAATTAAATTTTTTCTGTTAGAATATTCTTATCACTGCTTAGAATAAAAATATATTATTATATTTCAATTATAAAAATTGATATAAAAAATTAAAATAAATACAAATTACAAAATTTAAAAATTCTTTATATAAATAATTAATTAACATTTATTTAAGCTAGATAGTTTTTTACAAAAACAAAAAAGAAAGGAAAATTCAAAAAAAAAGGCAAAAAGTAAACAAAATTGATAGGCTTTAAAAAAATTAAAAAAAAAAAACAATTTTTGGTCTATAATAATTAATATTTATCTAATTATAACGATTCTTAGATTTTAGATTTTTATTGAAGCTAATATTATTATAAAAAAAAATATTTCAAAACAATAAAAAAATTACAAAAAAAAAAGATCTTACTTATAAGTATAGCTCAAAATAGTTCAGAATTAAATAACATTTTAAATATAAGATTTGTTTCGTAAAAGCGTGCATGAAAGAAAACATGTGGAAAGTTTTAAGTTTTGGTTAAATTTTTCTAATCTGTCTATTTCAGTAGTTTTTAAAATTTAAAAAAAAGACCCATTGAAAAATGAATCTCCCTAATTTTTTTTTTGTTTTCCCTTCAGCAAATATTTATTTAAATAATTTGGTATTATATAAATAAAAATATTGTATGTAATTGAAAATTGTTTACATACTTTATCGCTGATTCCTTCTTAAGATTCATAAAAATAACTACCTAGTAGTATTTTGATTACATTTTTCTCAATATACAAAAAATTAACTTGAATATCTAACTTTGAAACCAGATCCAGGGTTCGCTTAGCTTAAACTAAAATTGTATGATTTTAAAATAAAAACAATTTTTATAATGTAAGTTTAACATATTTTATAATACGTTGATGAAATAGAAGTAATTAAAAATAAAATACCCATAAGTTTTTATAATTATCATTTCATAAAAAGCAAAATAGTTAAGAAAACTACTGATTTAGAAACGAAAAACTAAAAAAAAAATTGTAAAAGAAGATGCTCGAAAGCATAAGTATGAGTCCTCTTTTTATTTGTTTATTTTAATTCAATTTTTATTTGAATTAACAATTATAATAATTATATAAATTTTTTATTTATTTAAAAATCAAATTAAATAAAGAAAGTTTTCGTTTTGATATTATAATTTGTTTTGTATAGTTTTATATTGCGCGTACAAATTAATCGTAAAAAAAAATAAAAACAATTTAAATTAAATATAGTATATAACATATTAATAATTTATAATTATAATAACAATATTAAGGATAAAAATAATGAAAATATTGATAATAATAAAATTGACGAAAGGGTCATACATATTTATATATATACATATGTATTTAAATATTAATTACGAATTACATGATTTCTGAACAGATAAATTTTATTTTACAGAAACACAATGTTATGTACTAAATCAATATTATTATTAATATGTGCTTTTTTATTTTAAAGTCAAAACTTTGAACATTAATATAATAGTACGAAAGGGTATAATCAACACTGAATTTAAGTAAATTTAATTATAAATTACTTGAATTTGATTTTTATAATTTTTGTTGAAATTCGTGATAAAACCTAAAAAAGGAATATTAACAATATTTTATTTAATAAAAAATCAGAAAATATTTTATTTCTTAGAAGAAAATTTCAAAATCAAATTTTATTTCTCGTGAAAATATAATAAAGGTACATATAACACTTTACATTGTCAATTCTATAAAGCTATGGAATTAAAAATTGGTTTAAAATTCATAAATTTGTTTAAGTAAAAATGAAGTTATGATTTAGTTTAATTATTAAAAAAGGATTTTACTACAATATTAGGGCTGAGTTAATAAAAAGTTATTGGTTATGCCCACAAAGTTAAGGATAAAATATATTGTTGATATGATCTCAACAGTTATAGCTTAATTTTACATTTTTTATTTAAAACTTAAGGATTTTTTCTATCTTCAATATTTAAATAATCAAAGAAAAGATCCAATATTTGCTGTTGAAGTCTCAATTATATTGCCAAATATAGTTAGATATTCAATTATTATTGAATGCATATTATAGATGATGATTAAAAAATCCAAAATATACCAATTGGAAACCATAATTGTAAAACCTTCATTTATTTTCAGTCTTATGATACACATAAATTTTGTAAAACCTTAATACATTTTTATTAATTAAACTTTAATTATGCGATATTTTGGAGAATATTCATAAAATTCATATAGTTTAGGTCTTTTCAAACTAGTTATTAAGATTCTTTTATTTTTATTAAGGTAATAATTATGTTTTTAAATAGAGAAAAGTAAATTAAAATCGTTGGTTATTATTTCACAATGCCTTATCTTTAAAAAATTATTTTATATTTAGTTGATTTTAAACTTGGTTTTAATCCTTTGCTACAATAAATAAAATAAATATTAAATATAAAAATATTTTATTAAAAAATAAATAATTTAACGCTTATTACGTTTTGATTTTATTTTTTACTTTAACTGTAATTAAAATCGCATATTTAAAAATATGTAAATAAAGAAAGTGTTTAAATATAACGAAAAAGAAAAATATAAACTAGAAAATATTGTTTTTTAATTTTATTTTATATTTAATTTACCATAAATGAAAATCAGAGTTCTGTAAATATACCTGTTCAAATAATTTATTTCTTAAAAATTATTATTCAAATTTACTAATTTGTTAGTAAAAAATGCCTTGTAATTAAAATACTTTAATTCTTATATTTATTTAATTAAAAAAAGTAAGAGGAATTGTTTTAAAAAATCAAAGATATTGTTAAGAGATTTTGGATCACTGAAAATATAAATTCATGATGTACCAAAATTTTATTTCTAAATGAATTTCCAAAATTTGAGGAAAAAATGCTTTTCTTTCAAAAAATTCGGATAAAAATTTTTTTTTATCAAATGTGAATTTTGGTTCTCAAAGCACAGAGATTTATCATAAAGCATTTTATTTGTATAAAATCCTTTATTATCAAGTTTACTTTCGAAATGTTAAATAATACACGCTTCAGATGTGGTACATGTATTACAAATTACATTTTAAACATTTGCCTATACGTAAATCATATTTTGTGGCAAGTTGCATATTTAGATCTTATTGAATAAGCAACTAGCATATTATGATTAATTCAAATGTTTTAATTTTGCAAAAGGAACAAAAGCGTTGGCCTACAAAAGTGGGCAAAACTTCATTTCTTGAAATTTTTTATAAATTTTATAACACCTTTTTATGGTTATTTTTTTCAAAAAATGAATGAAATTTCATTTTACTATGTATAACAGATACGAATGATTGTGTTAATGTTTTACATTAACAAAATATTCCTTAATAAAAAAAAATATTCATTTTTATTTCAAATTTAGTTGCTGCAAGGAAAGAGTGAGAAGAATTTTCATAAAAATATGTGTATGTATAAATTTAATAAATATTCCATAATTATAAAAAACACTAATAATAAATGCATAAAAAAATTGTATTGTTTCTTAGTAATTCTGTTTCTATATCAAACGCATAACATTGAAAAAAAACGAATTATAAATAAATCAAGATATGTACATTTAAACAAATACGTAACTATTAATAGTTTCAAAATATAAAAGTTATTAAAAATTAAATAATTCGTTAAAAAGAATATGTATGATTAGTTTATTTAAAAAATTTGTTAATAATATTCTTCTACGGTAAAGTAAATGTTTTTTTTTGGATGATCTTCGTGTGCTATTTTTAAATAAAAAAATTGTAGATGATAATTAAGATTAATAAATACATATTTTAAATTTCGAAATGTTTATTTTATTTAGATAATTTTAATTAACAGTTTAAAACAATTTGAAAAAATTTACATATATGAATATAATACCTCCACCATTACAAATCAGGTAGTTCGATTTTTACTTAATCATGCAATGCAAGGTAAGGTATGTCCGTATTAGGATTTTTATTTAAAGAGAATCTAGACATACATAATGGTATAATCCCCGACTTTTATAAGTATGGTTAGAGAAGTCACAATCTAGATATCATAATATGGAGGAATACAAGGTCAAATGGATTATGGAATACAAGGTGTTATGTGCAGAGGATTGGAAAGGCGTGCCCATATCTAACATCCAAATTATTAAAATTCGTGTCCTTCATCATATTTTTAATTATTTGATTCTTCAAATATGTAGTTATGTTCATAAGTATGTCATTATGCTGCTTTTAGGTTAAAGTTACAGACACATCAGACTAAACTTACGACTTAACCTAAGATTAAATCTGATGGACATTTTGATTTGCACATTAGATTCTATTTATACTTTTACGTCAAACTTTTGACGGCTATGTTTATTAATGAGCCTTATTCTAGTTGTCGCGTCACTTACGTGACATTTGTCGTTGTCGCTGTCACGTCACTTGAAATGTGGTATTCTAGTTGTCGAGTGACGTGACTGCGAGAAATAAACGAAAATGAAACGTTTCAAGTGAAATTGATACATTTTAAAAAGAAATTTTGGCGAGTAAAGTTCAAACTAAAAAAAAATTCGGTGTATATATTTATATTTTTAATCCGAGGGAAATAAAAAATGTCGTCATTTGCATTATGGTTTATGGATTCATCAGACTCCGAGAGTAATGAAATTGAAAAAAAAACAACAATTAAGGATCAAAAGATTTAAGATTAGGGACAGCTCTATTGGATTTGCCAAATGGAGTGTTATTTACATTTACATTATAACCGGATGGGTTATCATAGCTTAAACGTTATGTTGGTGTGTATAACATTGCTTGTTAAATATTTGTAAATATTTTAATATAATGTGAGTTAAAGGTTTGCGATCATAAAATGCGCATCAGGTATGTGGATGCTAATAATCCGGGATCATCTCATGATTCCTTTATTGAAAATTACCTGAAATTTACATAAATTAATTAAATTTTAAATTAAACTTATGTTAAAATTACCTTCTGCCATCCTGCAGTACTTCTAATGGGCGGACCCAAGCTATTAAGCTTTTCTGTTAGCTGGTTCCATTTTGCATCAAACCCAAATTTGCTTATGCGGCTATTCTCAGCAAATTTAAGGCCTTTCGCAATAAAGGCGTTCTCCGTCATAAAATTGTTACTTTTAAGCTAAAAATAAAAATAAATTATATATTATATGGTTTAATTTATGCATTAAATTACAAAATTTATTATTTTTTTATATTTTTATTAAATTGTTTTGTTTAAACTTACATTTTTGGTGTATCCATCTCGCTTGTCACTTGTTAAATACATTTCGACAAAAAACGTCGTTTCACTACGACATGTGTCGCTCTACAACGACAACTGGAATATACCTGAAACACATTTTCCCGCTATTCCACGACACGTGTCACTGTAATCGCCATTTAGAATATCAAATTCAAGTCGTGACGACAATTGTCGCTCTACTTCGACAACTAGAATAAGGCTCAATATTTGCAATATACGTATGCATAAATGGCAACAGAAATTAAAAAAAAAGCATATATCAGCTGAATGTGACAAAACCTTCTTAAAAAATTATTTTCCGACGTGTTATTTTTAAAAATCTGATAATTTCTGAAATCTGAAATACATTACTGATTATTCTTAAATTTTTTCACAACATGTATTAATTTTTTAAAATTTAGCTGTGCTTTTTTGTCTCACATGCTACCAAAAAGAAAACCCTTTTTGACACAGCTGTTCAGAAAACTTTTTCAGAAAAGCTATTCAGAATCGGCCAAATTTTTGTCTCGTGTCGTGAATATAATTAATAGTTTGAAATGTTTCATATCATTTTATAATGAAATATTTTACACAATACATAATAAATTACATAATAAACTATTTTACTGATTTTTTTCATTACTTATAAATGTCAAGATCTGAGGGCTTTTATTAACACTTAAAAAAAAACTACATACATATTTGAAAACATTGAACTGACAATTTCAATTTTACAATTCTTGGATTTGAGAAAGTGACTCACCTGAAATGCTGCCCGTCCATTAATTTAATAATTCTATATATCTAGGCCCCTTCACAGTTCTCATAAGTATAAAAGACTGTCATATAAAAAGTTTTTTACAATTTAATACAAATGAAATAAACGAATGGATATCACATAATTTATTTGTTAAAAGTGATAAGCCTGACTAGTTTTTAAATAAATTACTTTACAGGCTTTTTTTTTTGGGAACGTCATACTATATGCTAATTATTTTAACAAGTCTTATTTGGTGCCTGATCGTCTGTCTCGCTACTTTGCTCGGAAAGTGAAAAGAAAGTAAGTAACATCATATACTTGTATAATGTAATTTTCGAGTGAGAGGAATTATTTGGTATTACGTATCTCGTTTTTTTTCTAAAATGCATACAAAATTTATTCACTTTGTTTTTGAAAAAGAGCCGTTTAGTCGATAATTGGAGAAAAAATGCAAAAGCCCAACTAAAAAAAAATAATCTTATTAGAAAAGTGAAGCATCCATTAGAAATTATTGAGATTTTTAATTTAAAAATAAATAAAAAGTGAGTAAAAAAGGGAGATCAGGCTGTTAATATTTTAGCGATTTGACAAAATACTAAACAATAACTTTTGCTAAAAAAACGCGTTTTATGACAAAGTTTATTGTTTTTAAGTTATCTGAGATAAAATTCAAAACGGTTTCTTGAATCGGACCCATGTTTTATATAGCATTTCAGTTTTTAAAAATGGAAGCTAGGTGGATTGTCAAAACTCCTTCCATGTTTTTATACTTGTATGTCACTCAAAAGTCAGGAGCTGTTTAACTTTCATAGACAGTCATTGTACGTACAATTTTCAATTTAATTAACAGATTTTAAAAATAATTACATATTTGACAAATTCAATATTTGAAATAATAATATTTAATTAGAAATCTAGTTGAACCACAATATTCAACGAATGATTTTGATTCAAACGAGATGAATAAATTAGAAAATGGAAAATCAGATGTGAAGAAAGATTTGAAAAAACAAAATATAAAAAAGAGGTCTGGAAAACCAATTGAAGCATATGGGAACCAGCAAAAGAATCATATTTATGTAAACAGTAAAACTAATTTAAAAGCTAACATCAAACAGTGCGAAAACTTGATAAACTCCGGTTGTAGTGAAGTATTTCTTCATGCGCTTGGGAAAGCTATACCAAAACTTGCAAATTTAGCTTTACGACTTGTAAATAATTCGAATGGAGCACTGACATATGAAGCTAATACTTCAACAGTAACATTAATTGATGAGCATCATCCATTAAACGATGATGATGAACTAACTCTTGCAAAACGATTGAATTCATGCCTTCACATAAAAATATCAACAAATGTTGACATAAATATTGATAACAATATATAGAAGGGATTAAAAAAGGAGCTGAATTAAATTTTGTAAAAAACTATATTCAACATGTTTAAATTATCAGAATTGGTAAAATGGTTAGGACTGACAGAATTTGAAATACTGACAAACTTGACTGGTTTATTAGTCTTTACTGTTTTGTTGTCTTTAAAAATTGAAGCTGAGCAAAAATTTTCATTAGATTGGTTAAGTGTTTTTAGCCCGTTATTTTGTAGTGACATATGTAATTCATATTTTTGTATTATAGTAGGTATAAGAATGTATGCAGATAATGAAAACAGAAGAAAGTCACTGCATCGTCTAATGTGGAGCACGTATTTTTTAGTTTTAACTGGAATTTTCAAATATTTACTATGTTTAAAGTTATCTGGCCAAACTGCTTTAGAATATAGCGAGGTTTTCTCACCAATATTTGTATTATTGCAATTAATAGCCGTTCGAGCTTGTCAGCTTCCTAACACAAATTAGAGAATTAAATAAAGTTAGAATAAGTTTGGAAAATTTTTTTTATTTCTAATTAGCTAATTTTAAGTATTCCAAAAACAAAGAGCTTGAAAAAAAATTTGAGTACGATAGTTAATTTTCTTCAGAAAAGCATTTCATATTTTCACCACACTCATATCTTTGATAATCAATTATCTCTACATTATTTTCCTTCAAGAAATCATTTACTAAGTAATTTGGGTCCAAAAGATATTCTTGAAATATTAAACATGTTTCATTGTCTTTGTTTTCTAATGGTTTATCTTTATCTATATTCCCAATTTTGACTGGGCTCATACCAACAATATGTTGACAAATATTTTTTTGCAATTCTTTGTCATCCTTTTCCGTTCTAAAAGCAACTAAAGTCCCATATTTACCAAAACTTATATCTGATTGTTCATTAATATTAGAAGGTGGATGTGTGTAAGCGTACAATTTCAAATCATTATTAGTTTTAAAGCAAATTGCTCTTTTGAGTGTGGCATTTTCCCCAACAGTTCCTATTAAAAGAGCCAAATGATCAGATAAAGTTTTTCCGTCGTTTGCTTTCAGATGTTTTAGAGCATCTGTTTCAAAACCAAGTTTCCAAAGGTCTCCATCGAAATCAGTCTTGCTTGTGTATTGAGCGCATAATTTGGTTGCAAATTCAACAAATTTTCTAAATTGTTCATTTCTTGCAACAAAATCAGTTTCACAATTAATTTCAACCATAGCTCCAATATTATTTTTGACTAATACTCCAACTAATCCTTGTGTTGTACTTCTGTTTTCTAATTTTGTGGCTTTAGACCACCCCATGGATTGAGCTTGTTTATTCAACCATTCTTCCGCTTTGCTAACATCGTTGCCATTCAACTCCAATGCCTTTTTACAATTTGCAAATGTGTAACCAGTTCTCTTTCGAAGTTCGGCTAAACCACTTTTGTTTGCATTATAGAAAACTAATGAATTGTGGAAATATCGTGAGGATTGTTTAAAAAATATCATCATCAAAATTTTACTAGGGTTTTCGATTTTTTAATATATTGTATTAATTCTGGAACTTCAAAATAGTGCCGGAATCCAAACAAAACAAAAAAGCAAGAAAAATTATATATGCCTACTTTATTTGTCAGTGTCAAGTGTTCAACTAAGAATTTGTTTCATTAAAATGCAACGACAACACTTGCATGCAAAATTTTGATAATGAAACAAAATTGCACCATTTTTGTTTCGTTGATGTTGGTGTGACTGACAACAAAGAAAGAAGGCGAAAGAATAAACTACATTGTCTATAAAATTAACATTATTTTTTTTAATTAATAATTTTCACGGATTTAAAAGTGTTATTTTTGTATTTTATTACTTATTAAAAAATAGCTACACAAAAATGGCACCAAAAAAGCGTGAAAAAGAGCCGGAGAGTTCTACTTCAAGAATGGTACTATTCGATAACGAGTTGTTTTTGCAAGCTTTTGAAAGTGAGTAGTTAGAATTAAAAATTAGAAAAAAAGGAATAAATAAATTTAGTATATACTTAACTATACTAAAAATTAATACAATCTATGGGAAAATTTCAATAATACGTAAAGAGTAATTTAAAAATAGTTTTTTTAGGAATAGTACATAACCTATATTGTTTTTTCTTTTGTCGGGGAGAAGCTTTCATTTCTGCAATCTGCAAAGAAATATCTGATTTTGATGTTTCAATTAAGGCGATAATAGCAGCCAATACTATCTTACAATACGCGGTTGTTTTGATTTGTTGCTTTTTTTAATGAAATGATGTTAAAAAAAAGGCGCGAGTTTCAAAAATAATAAAAATAAACAAATAATATTTTGACAACAATATTTGAGTAATGGTGATAAATGAAATTGGATTGTATTCGGGTTAAAGATCAATTTAAATTTAAAATACTTATATAAAATCGGATAGCCGTGTATCCAATTTTATATTTATTTTTGAAACAGTAATTTTTAAACAAATTTTCAATTTTATTTTTTCAGAACCCACACAAATTTATCGATATATTGCAAATAGACATGCTATAAATGTAAGTAGAATGCTACTGAGTTCACAAATCAATATTCACATAAACTGTTTTATTTTAGCCCTTATATTTAAATCGTAACCTAACTTACATGAAACACCGAATGTCAAGGACAAATCAGAGAAGATCAACTTTTAAAATAGAGTCTCTTCTTGACCTAAAATTAAATAAAATGAGAATGGAAAAAGCGAATGTTTTTGGAGATTCTATTACCTTGAAGTTCTTAGGATTTTATGACAATGAGGAAGAGTGGAAGAAAAATGATATTGTTCGAGTAGAAATTTTCCTTTTAAAAATATCTAGAAAAAAGCGTAAAGATTTTTCGTCTGATATTGATCAAATTCCGGTAAGTTATAAATTTTCTCGAAAAGGAGTATTATAAAAGATTATTTTAACTGTTCAAAATATTTTTGACAAAAATTCAATGTTATTTTACATATAAGATGGGTATGGTTGATGTTTGCGTTAATCCTAATGAAGATGAAAATTTGACAGAAAATCGAAATTTAGAAATAAATATTCCAACAGAAAGTTTCATGCCTCTTAATAACAATAATCAAAACGTTTCATACGGCATATTTTTTAAAGTAGAAACTCTAAAATTAGCAACTGAATTGGATGAAAATCAAGATGGTAATATAAAAATTTAGTTTTACTGTTTGTTTTTTTAATATATATACATGAAACTTCATGTATATTTAAAATTTTTGTATAAAATAGATAGAAACACAAAGCGACTCAAACCCAACACAAAATTTTTTGGTGCTGATTTATCCATATTTGATAAGCAAAATCGCTGTATTTTAGCAAGTGGTAAATATGATTTAGCACTTCATGAGATAAGATATGCCTCAAAAAGTTCCCCAAAAAAATACATTAATTGGGAAACTATACCATCTGAATTTAGTATATTAAGCGATCCTTCATTTGATATTTTTAAACAGCCAACTTTACAATTTTATATGAGTTGGTCGAGTAATCATGAACAAAAGGTTGAAAAGTCACACATAAATGGATATTGTGATCATGATGAAAGTAAGATAATTCGGAACCATAATAATAATTCTATAGCTACAGTACAAAATGCAAATACTCTAGCTGGAGGGATCGTAGAAACGTCAGATAGTGTTACTAGCCCAGCAGCCGGATTAAATGGAGAATTAAAGGAAAGTAATTCTGGAGAAAGTGTTCAAATATACTACAATTTCATGTATAATAATAATTCAAGACAACAAAGTGATTATGCTTCAACTGCTGATTGCCCTTGGTGCAGAATCAAATGCAGAAAATTATACGCTTTGTTGAAACATTTAAAGTTATGTCATCCTCGATTTAATTTCACATACGTGCCTATAAATAATACGGCTAGAATTGATGTTACAATTAATGATATGTACGATGGTTCGAATGCTGGTTCTCCTTATAATGTTCCTGGTCCATCAGAAAACTCGTACCAAACAAATACAAGACGTCGCACAGTAGTAACAAATTTATTGGTGTGTAGACCCAGAAGACAGAAAGCAAATTTAAGCGAATTCTTAGAACTAGACGAAAATGAAATTAATAATCAAAGATCTTATATAACTGGTCATAATAGGTATTTATAAAAAAAAAACGTTATTTAATTTCATTAATATTTTTGTAACTTTAATTAGACTGTACCATCATGCCGAAACATGTTTACCTATACAACCCCAAGAACTAGAATATGATTCCGAAGGAGAATCAGATCCATTATGGCTTCGCCAAAAAACAATGCAAATGATCGATGAATTTAGCGATGTCAATGAAGGTGAAAAGGAACTTATGAAGATGTGGAACTTACATGTGATGCGTCATGGTTATGTTGGTGATTGTCAGCTTTCAATAGCCTGTGATATGTTTTTGGAATCAAAAGGAAAAGAAATAATTCGAAAAAATTTGTTTCGCAATTTTTTATTACATTTGACGTCATTATTTGACTATGGATTAATTTCACCAGAATGTGTCCATAAATGTATTCAAAAATTACAGGTATAAAATGTATTTATAAAAATATATACCTATATACATATATAAGTGTTTTATGCTTATGAGTATATAAGTATGTATTTATGTTTATGAGTATATGTATGTTAAAATATAGGATTTAATATTATAAAAAAAAAATTAAATTTTTTAGAGTATGTTAAGTACAGATAAAGAAGGAAGACAAATTTTATCAGAATCCCACGAGCGACAGCTTGATTATTGGTTGAAGGAGGGATGCTTCAAAGAACAAAAGGAAAAGAGAAGTTCGATTAAGTTAGAATCTAAAGGTTTAAGTAGTTTAACAAATATTATAACAAAAACAACTCCAAAAAGTGAAAGTAGTAAGAAATTTGCTATAAATAAAAGCGGAATCGATCCTTCGGAATTTAATCCAGATGATAATTTGGAATCAGAAAAGCAAACTGTCAAAAAATTTTCAAGTCCAAAGAAAAATACACCTAACCTATCACTCCAACCAAATAATTTATTTAATAAGACAGGAAGTAAAAGGAGATTTTCAACAAAAGGTATTAACAAATTTTTTTTTGATTAAAAATTTATGCTTGAAATGCAAATGAATTTAAACTAGAAGTAGAGTAAAAATCTATTTTAATTTAAAAAGATCTATTGTAATTTAAGATATTGTATTGAACAATACCATTAGAAATATCATTAAAGGATAGTACAAATGATAAAAAGAAAAAAATTTTAAATATTTATGGATAATCTACCGTATTTGTTAAAAAGAATTGGTTTATATGAAAATGTTAAAAATGTATACTAGAAAATAATGTATAAAATGAAAATTTAAAAAAATCGTATATTTGTATAAAATCAGAAAAATTATTTTATGAACAAATTAAAATTAGCATTATTATAACCTTCTACAATTGTACAAACATACAGTATTTTTGTACAATTAACACTAATTCGTAAAAAAATCATCATAAAAACCTATTTATTTAATTTCCTTCTTTTTAAGTTTTTAAATCATTTCTCCAAATTTAGTTAAAATTGAAAAAAATATTAAAATTTCTTTAATATTTAAGTACTTTTATATTTTTTTTTTCTGCTATCTTTTATACTGTAATTTTATATTTTATATGTTAATATTTTTTGGAATTAATTATCAGTATTAATACGTATATAACACTTATATAACTCATATTAAACATAATTAAATTTAAAGAAATTTAAAATTTTGTAAAAAGCTGACAAAAAACAAATAATAACAACTTAAGACATTTTCATCATCTCATACTATTTTAAATGTTTAAGATTATTTTTTTTAATTTAATGTTTTATTTTTCTAATAATTTTTGATATTATTTTCTGTTTTTAAAATATTTTTTTTTACCATTACTTTTCATTACAAAATCATATTTACATTTTACAGATTGTATATCACCACAAAGACGACGTAGTGCTGCGGAAATTTCTGTAACAAATGCTAAAAAAATTAACACTAGAAGGCAATCAATTGCTGTTTTAAACATCACGAAAAACAGTCCCAGTAAAATCAAAATGAGAAAACGTTTATAAGACATAAAATTGTTTTTTTCTTTTTTTTGTTTGTTTTTTTTTAATATGGAAAAGAAAATAAAAATTCTGAGAAGTAATTTTTTTTATAAATAATTTTTGAATATAAATAAAATACAAAATTGTTGATATAGTCTAGAAATACATACGTTCAATATATTATATACAAAACGTTTTCGCTAATTTTCATCCAAAATTTAGCTTTTATTTTTAAGTATTTTTTTTCACCTAGTATATTAATTATCCTAATCAATTAGTTTAATTTTGACGACTTTTAATTTTAATAAATCGTTATATTTAATATTATTTTCCATTCGTTTATTGTGGTGTCACTCACATAAAATAAAAAATAAATTCAAGTGATTAAAAATTTTTTTGTTTAGATATTAATTTAGTAAAGAAATATGCAAAAGAAAAAATAAAAAGCTTGAATTAAATTTATTTTTCGGCACAAATTCTCTTAAAATTTCTAGCCTGTTTTTGTGTAAAAAAAAATTATTCCGAAAAGTATGAAAAGTTTATTTTTAGATAATTTGAAAATTTCAATTTAAATAAATATTTTTAAAAATTCGTTAATTGAATATAGTGATAATTTGACGTGACCGACAAATTTTCAAATAAAGCAAAATCTTTAAAAATACAATTGTTTTTTGTACATGAAATTTTTAATTTTAATACATGAATTGAACTTATAATAAAAAATAAAATTTAAAATAATTTATTGAATTTGTTGAACTTTTTTTTAAATGTTTAAAAGAAAAGAAAAAATAAATTTATCATTAATTTTTTTTATTACAAACAAAAATGAGTTGTGTTATTTTTTTTACTTTCTGTTTTTAAATGCAATTATTTGAATTCTGTATTTTGAATATTTTAGAAAATTTTATGAAAACAAGTTATAATAATAAAATAATTCTGAAGGACTTCAATATAAATTACAATTAATTACTTTCAATTTAATTTATAAATTTATTACATGAAAAGATAAGAACATTAAGTAAATATGTGTAAGGATTATAAATTTTGTAATTTCTATTTTAACTTAAGATTAAAGTAATTGATAATAAATTGTATTCAACTTGAAAATGGTGGTACTTGAAAATAATGAAAATATGTAATAACTTAAAGCTATTGGTTATACATATGTTTGAATATGTACATAAACTATTAATTATTATTAATTTAATGAACGTTTAAATATTGATGAAAGAATTTTTTTGCATTTAGTCTTATTGAATATTCATTTAAGAAAAATATATAAAACCTTTTAAAAAAATTATAATAAAATGTAATAATTTCGAAATAATATAGTGATAATTCTTTTATGTACTTTCGCACATTTGTAAATTAATAATTTGAATATTATATAGAACAATGAAAAATTATTAATGAAAGTTTTAAGAGAAATACTCTGTAAAACAATTATTTTAAGAAATTTCATCGTTTTTATCATCGAAAAAAAATATTGATAATAAATTTAACATCTAATTTTGAAAGACCAATAATTTTATTCAAACCATTTATTTTCTAGTTTTAAAATTTAGTTTGAAATTAATAAAATACTGGTTATTTGATACCTTTTCTAGGTATTTAAAATGATCCGCTTGATCTTCTACAAGTTTTTGTAAAAAATATATTTTTAAAAATAGAACGAAAATTCAAAACTAATTAAGATAAGTACATAACTAATTAAAAATAATTTGGAATACTAAATTTGACAAAAAAAAAATTAACAAAGTTCAAATTCAACAAAAAAATTTCTTTTTAAAATGCTTTCTCCTTTTGCTATCAAAATAAAAAATCACTGCCCTAGAAGAAAGAAAATTGAAAAATTTATTATTATTGTATAAGGGTTGAAGCAATTTATTACAAAAGAGAAATTGAATATAATAAATATTTTATAATATAAAATTTGTAATAATGTAACTACAAATAATTAAAAAAATCCATATACATGAAAATATATATATATGAAAGAATATATATGTACAGATATACATTTATTTATACATGCATATTTAGATACATTAGGTTAAGATATCAAAGAAAAAAAAGTAGAATGAATTATTTTTGTTTATGTAAATTACCGACTAATAAATTTAAAATTTTAATAATAAAATACAATAATATTCGAAATTAATATTTTTTGTTTGTGAAAATGGTTTAAGAGGTTTCTTTTTATTTTAGAATTAATTTATTCATTTTTTCATTTGAAAATACTATTTGCCAAAGGTGAATTCTCATTTGAAAATATTTGTTCAAGTAAAGGAAAGACGATTAAAGATTTTTGGAATTCATACTGATTACTTTGAAAGTGTAAGAATGTATTCGATTCTTTGATGTAAAAACAACAAGCTTAACACAAACATTTTTTCTATGAGATCAAAGATTTGTTTCGTATTTCAAGGAACTATTTTCCTAAAAAAATAATAATCTAGTGTAAACTTTCAGAATAAATTAAAAATTCGAGGTAATTTTTAATTTGGTCCATTTGTAATACCATAGATTTTTATTTCTGACTTGTGATATTATCAAATTATATTGCACTATATTGAGCACCCATAATTGAGCAGGTTTTTTTGAAAGTGGTACAGATAAGTCCATTTTTTCATATATTGAGATATTTAAGGTTTTGCATTTGAATCAATTTAAAAATGTTGACCATAATAACATATTTGTTTTGTTTTATGTTTAAGCAGAACTATTGAAATTGTGATTATAACTTTGGAGATAAGGTGTCACATCAAAATCACTATTAACTTAGTCTTTTTAAAAAGTGGACTTATACCACTTTCAAAAAAACCAGCTCAATTATTTGTTTTAACTTTAAAGAAACGACAGAGTTAAAGATATATGTGTATACGGTTACATATTTACATTTAATAAGAGTAACAGCATATTGTAAATTTTAGTCAAGCTCATATTTTAATAAGCTTCCATGTTTATCAAACGGAATTTCTAAAATTTCAAATACATACATAAAGTAGGTAGGTAGGTACCTACATTTTTTAGTAAAAATTAGTGGTTATTCTAATTCTGTATATTATATTTCCAAATTTTCTTCAAAATTTGTATGAATTTACAAATTCTTTTAAAATTTTACATTCAATTATATCATACATATCATAATTTTTCTAAATAAAATATGTAAAATTAATTTAAAACACAAAATATTTTACAAATTCGTCATTTACATATACGTACAGTTCATTACATAGATTGGTAAGTACTATTCTACATACTGTAATGTGGTATTATTATTGTTAATACTAAGTATGTAAAATTTACTTACATATATACATACGTACATACATATGTATTTTATTTTAATACACACTGATCAAAAAATTTCAATTTTTATTAAAAAAACATTTATATATAAAAAATGGAATTAAATAAATAAAAGGATAATAAAATATTTCCTTCCCTCTTAAGCATTCTTCGGATTTTTCAATTTTTTGTTGTTTTATGTCAGAATCAAACGAAATACTTTTATTTTTCAAAAAATATTGTCTATATTTTACATTGGCTGCATCAAACATTCTTTTAGCTGCAATGGTATGAGGCTTTTCTGCATCTTTATCAGAAATATATATAATTTCTTTAATACCACCTTGTATAATTAACTTAGCACATTCATTACACGGAAAAAGTGAAACGTACAATCTAGATCCATTAGTATCAGCTGTATTTTTGTTTAATATTGCGTTTACTTCTGCATGAACTACATACATATATTTTTGTTCTAAAAGATCACCTGTTTTTTTCCATGGGAATACATCGTCGCTGCAATTTTTTGGAAAACCATTGTATCCAACACCAATAATCCGATTTTGATTATCTACTATGCATGCTCCTACTTGAGTATTTGGGTCTTTTGAACGTTGTCCTGTTAGTAAAGCTGTTAACATAAAGTATTCTTCCCATTCTAAGTAATTCTTCCTTTTATAAGACATCTAGTTTCTTATGGTTTGGCAAACAAATTTTCTTCGTTCAAAACTAGTCAAATTGACTTGATTTAAAAAAAAGCGCCAGAACAAGTCTGTTGACATGTGCTTGTACGCAACGTACATATATAAAAATTATCCCTACAAACAAATTTTATCATTAAATTAATAAACGAAATAAGAATTCATAGTTGTTCAGATAATCAAATTTTTTTAAATCCAAAATTATTCATATAATGTCAAAGAAAGCTTGCAAAGCTGTCAAGTTTTTGTATTTTATGAAGCACAAAAAAATTTCTGGTCGGCATAATATTGAGCAATTCTTCAATATAAACACAGCTCTTTGCGTACCTTAATACACACTAAATTGTGGTTACCTTTTTTAAGAGATCTTTTTTGTTTATCACCCATGAAAGTTGTTATTACCTCTAGTTAAATGTCCATTTAACCTACAGAAAATTTTGGTTCAAATGATTTGAAAGGCTATAATGGATAAGATTTTTTAATTAAGAGTGTGGTAAGTACATAAGCTAATTTCGCTACTTTATCCAGTTTTAGATTTTATTAAATCCAGACAGGTGCCTATTTTTAATGGGAATAATAAAATTCCTCTTATTTCTATACGTATCTTTGCTAAAAAGTGTTCCTCTTATTGCTATAAATATTCTTGCGATTTGAAGGTAGTTTCAAAATACCATCATTTAAAATTAAATGACTTTTTAATTAAGTTATTTTAATTTTCTGATAACGTTTAATGTTCAAATTCAATATGTTCTCATGAAGAAGCCTAGCATCTTCTTTAAAACTTATGGATAAGTATAATATAAGTTCTTAAAAAGGCAAAATTTTGGGTAGGCAACTTTTAGTAATATATTTAATCGCAACCAGATGGCGTTTGATAGCTTTCTTTGGTCACTGTGTAAATTGTTTGTTTCACGGCTGACAGTTATATTTGTTGATATTTTTGTTAAGTCAAAGTTTGTTTACAAAATTTTTTTTTCAAATTGACATTTCTTTAATCAAAATATTTACAAATTACATTTTACCTTTTACCAATTACTGAAATTAAAACAATTTAAGATGCATTGTACTGAAAATAAAATATTCTTTATTAATTTTTTTTAATAAATCTTGATTTTCCTTAAGAATATAATGCATCAATGATTGATAGAAATTTTTAAAATATGTAATATGAAATAAATATACATGAGATTGTTTGAAAGATCAACAATAATGTGCAATAAATAGAAATGGATTCCGGAAGAAAAAAAAGTATAAATTTTCAAAAATGAAGGCGTTTGATTTGTAATATCGTTAAAAGAAAATAAATCAATAATTTTTTGGATGAAAAACGCATTTCATCTAAATGTAAAGAAGAGAAACATGCATTTGATAATGCTGCAGAAAAGTTTTTCGATATCAGCTCATAAATTTGATTCTAAAAAAATTCTAATGCAACGGACTTAAGTGTTTGTTTGGATTTTTTTAAACAAGCTATATAAATGTATTAAAATTGATTGTTTACCTTTATATAAATATTGGAAGCATGCTTAAACAAAAGGAAGAAACGAATATGAAATATTTTAATGATAACATTTATTTAGAAAATCATGGAAAAAAATATTTTAAATACTTTAAAATAATAAATGTGTAGGTATGTACTTGGAAATAACAACAAGCAATGAAATTTTTTAAAGAAAATATTAGAAATCTAAACAAGATTTAAAAATAAAAAATTGCTACTAAAAACGTAAAGAAAAAAAACTAGAAAGATATTTTTGTTATCAACAATATGATAAAATTCCTAAAATTTTTAAAAATTTAGTCTCAACTATGTGGCAATTAGTGCGATAACATATACACATAGGTAAACGCATATATGTATTTTACATTTAAAACTACATCTCCCTTCACTTTAGAAGAAAGCATTGGTGAAACATGTTAGATTAGAGCATTCAGGTTATTTCAACCTTAAATTATAGCTATGCGTTTATGTAATGAAAGTACTATTGGTATCGTGTTATTATCAAAAAGAATGCATAATAGTAGCATCTAATGAAGAAGATAAAAGTTTTGTAACTTTTGCATTCAAATTAATAAGCGTAAGAAACTCCAAAACATAGGCAAACAAAAAAAATCACTTTCTTTAAGAAAAATTTTAATGTAAAATGTCATAAATTTAAATCTGATGAACCAAATAGTTATCAAGATAACCATATAAATAAGCAAATACATAGAAAACTACTTATGTTTAAAGGTGTGGCAAAAAATAACATCAGTACAATTAAAATTTGTAAAAATTCAGATATCTTATCCATGTGAATTAGAATTTTGATTCCATAATGTTTGGAAACACTTTAATATATTTATTTCCTATGGCGAGAGTTACTATCACTCAATATTTTCGCATTTCTCGAGTTATAGGGGCAGATATCAAAAACATAAATTAAAAGTTTTGAAATATAATTAAATGTATATTATTTCTTTTTTATGTTTACATAGTTATATATATATATATATTATATAATGATTATTATATATTATATTATACTAAACTCAAAAGTATAAAAGTATAACTTGAAAAACTTTATTTTTTCATTTTTTTTCAATTTTTTTTTTTTTTGATAAAATAATAAAAATATTAGCTAAGTAGGTCAATTTTAGATATTGCTAATCAAGTACTTAACCATCAAAAATAATAACCTAATGTATATTTTATAATATTAATCCAATATATTAAAGGGACATTTTGGATTTGATAATTGTGACAGGCACTATAGGAGTTTTCACGTTTGCATATAAATTGCTTATCTTACTTTAATTAAGTGATTGAAAAATTTAAACTAAATAAGTGAGCTCCTTTTTTCTTATCATCTTATGTTTTGATTTCTAATTTTCTTCTTAAAATATGTAGATATTTTTTATGAAATTAAAAATAGCCTGTCCTCGAAAATGTTGCTGCATATCCTTATTTTTAAATAAAATTTTAACTGCCTTCATTATAACTGCCTTTGTTGGTTTCTTTAAATCATATTCATACCTATAATATTAGCAATCTGACTTTCCTGTTGTTGACGACCAGTCGTCCATCCCCATGGAAGCAGCCTCATTTAACATTTGCATGTTTTGATTACGTGGCAAAAGTTGTGCTTTCCATTCGCGTAATTCATGTTGCAATCTTTCATCAATTTGACGTAATTTTGCAGTTTCATGATCAACAAGTGCTTTACGCTTTTCATTTTGTAACTGTTCCAATTCTCTAATCGTACTATCTCTGGTTGCTCTTAATTCTTCTAATTGTTTTTGATGTTTGATTTCAATACGCTTTTCTTCTTGCAAGTAACGACGTTTTTCTTGCTCTTGGAATTTTTTTAATTTTTCTCTTTCAGCTTCTGGATCAATGTTTGTTGATATTCTTAATGATTCTCTAAACATCATATCACGGGCTTTCCTTTCTGCTCGTATACGTTTAGGTAAAGCTCTTCTTTCAAGCATTTGTCTCTTTAATAATTCTTCTTCCTTGCGTTGAAGCATTCGTTTTACCTGATCTAATTCTTTTTCATGTCTTGTGATCATTTGATGTCTTTGCATAAAGCACATATCTTTAACATGCCGTTTTGATAACTGATGTCGTTCATGCAAATGCTTTTCCTCCAATTCCCATAGGGTTGCTTCTCTTGTTCGCATAGCTGTTTGCTTTTGTTGTTGGAAATTACGCTCAATTGTACCCAATCTGTCTTGATATTTTTCACCTATACGTCTTAAAAGTAATTCATGCCTTTCTTTTAATGAATCCAAAAATAATCTTTCTTTTTCTTCGTGATCTAATTCCATAGCTGCACGTCTTTTTTTGAATTCATCCTTTCTCTCATCCTTGGGTAATAAATCAATTTCTTGTTTAAGTAGCCGAATTTCTTGTTTTAAATTGTCTCGGAAAAGTTTTAACTCTTGTTCTTGTTCTGCTCTGATACGTTTTGATGAAGCTGTCAGTTCAACCTTCTGTTGTTGTTCTGTTTTCTCTACAAAAGATTTCTGTTGTCTCGTGAGACTTTCCATATCGGTTTCAAAAGTTTTTTCCAATGTCATTCGTTCTTGTTCAAAACGCCGTTCTTGTTGTTCCCTAGCTATTTGTTCTTTTAAAGCTAAATCATTTTGTTGCTTCTTCTCTTGTTTTTGTAACATTTTTATCTCCCTTAGTTCTTGTTTGCGGAATAAATGATCGTCATACAATTTACCATTTTCATCGTCACCATAGATTACTTTACTAGTAGTTGTTGTCATTTGGACACCATCTATTTCGAATTTTCTGGTCCGTTTTCTAGTTTTCTTTCGCAAGTTACGTAGCTGTACCTCTTCTTTTGTTCTTTGTTGTTCTACTACTGTTGGTACTGGAGCTTGTGATTTTGAACGAAGTTCAACGGGTGATTCTTCATAAATTAAATCACGACTATCATGACTTGCTGTCGTTGCCACACTTTCTGCATCACTACGATCAATTTTTATTATACCAGATGATGTAGGTGTATAATGTGATAACACAGAACCACATTCTGAATGAGTTCTGGAATCAAGTGAACCAACTGAACGTTCTGATCTTTCTGGCGAAATTCTTAACTGTTGATCAAATTTGGTAGGAATTTTCCTGTCAATTATTATACCAATTTCAGTGTTGGTTGTTTCAATTGTAGGTCCTTTCAATTCAGATGTTTCAAATTTATTTTCTATTAAGATATGATCATCACTATAAATGCCACTAGTCGAAGATAAGTCGCTATAAGATTCTGTGGATTTAGCATTTGAACTATCTTTGACTCTAATTTCTTGACCTACTGTTACTACAGAAACGTGACTAGTGTCAATTACATCTGGATTACCAATCATGTTGTGATCTCCTGTAATAATAGAAGTGTTGTCATCATCTGCAAAATTATGGCTTACAATCAAAACTTCACTTTCATCTAATTTTTGAGCATGTGGATAATTGATATGTTGATTTGAATCGGGTTTTCTAGTTTCTTCCTCACTAATGACTATCATGCTGGATGTCTTTTTGCCAGTATATTTCGGCGAACTTTCTAAACTATCAATGGACGGATAGTCGTCATCAGTTGAAGATTCATTAATGTAAGTTTTGTTCATTTCATTGGATACAATAATTACTTCATTTCCGGTGCTGATATGTGGTTTTTGCTCTATATCTATTATACGTCTCGAAATTTCATCTTGTAAGACTGGATGATGTGTTGTAACAACAGCTACTTGACTGATATTGGATGATGCATTATTTGGTAAAACTGTGTTTTCTTTATTATCGTCGCTGATTGTAATCATAGCAGTATGTTCAGAAGATTTTGTCGGCGTTGATGACGCTATTGTTAATTTTGTAGTTCCACCAGCAATGGACGTAGGTGTTTCATATGAAATTACACTACCAATTATTTTCAAATCATTTTCAGATGGTGAAGAAACTTTTACGTCATCTAACGACTCAGATTCTAAAAAAGACGGATCGATATTGAAACTCTTTTTACTAGAGTTACTTGGCGATTCAGAAGCATTGACAATCTTAGAATCTGGCGGTTCTGTTGGAGTTTGTGGAGTTGGAATTTTGACTTCTTTTTCAATTTTAACGGGTGAAGTTTTAGAGGACGGTATCAATTCAGTTTGATTTTCATTAGAAGCGACGACGGGCGTAACGGAAGTAGCGATTTGTTTTTTGTGGGCTGGAGCTTGGGCTGGTGGGGCCGGAGCTTTTCCCTTTTCTTTTTTTAATACCTTCTTTTCTTGAGAAGATTTTTCTCCTTCCCTTTTCTTGTCGTTTCTGGCGGATGGATTAATATCTGTAACAATCTCAGTATTAATTGCTTCTTCAGTTACCTGACTTATAGGTGTTGGCGGAGCTAACGATTTTGGAAGTTTTTCAACACCAGATGGGGATGCTGCTTGAGGTGATGGTAATTTAACAGATGCATTTTCTTGAGACGGGTGCTCATCGATTTTGTTAATTGAAAGCGGTGCTGGCATTTTTACGTTGTTTGGTAATTTAGGCAATGATTTTGGCACATCTGCATTTTTATCAATATCTTGACTCTTTAGAGAAGATGAATCATCATCTATATCAACTGCAAATGTTGATTCACGAGATTCCTCATTTTCTTCATCAACTACTTCTTCTTCTACAACTTCTGCCTTGTATTCTAATAATAAATCTTTAACTGGCTTTGGATTTAAATATCCACTTATAAATGGGTGATTTAACAAAATATCTGAAGTAGGTCGTTTTTGTGGTTCTTTTATTAGGGCTTGTGCTAGGAAATCATTAAATTCTTTTGTATATTTTGATGGATGATCTAATTTGGGCGGGTCCGATTTTTGAATTTTTAATAGTACTCGCATTGGTGACATTTCGCTGTTTGGTGGCTCCATTTGAGCTAATTCAATTAATGTTATTCCTAGTGACCAAATATCAACTTTAAAATCATATGGATTGTCTCTAAATGTCTCGCAAAGCACTAATTCTGGAGCCATCCAATACGGTGTACCAATAAATGTGTCGTGTTTTTGCAATGTGTGTTTATTTTTTGCAGATACACCAAAATCAGCTAATTTTACTCCACCTTCCATCGTTAATAGTACATTACCAGCCTTTAGATCTCTGTGTATAACTTTATTTTTGTGTAAAAAACTTAAACCTTCGCACATGTATTTACAAACGTATGCAATTTGCGATTCAATTAATGGCTTTTCTAATTCAACCATAATACTGTCTAAGGCACCACCATCACAATATTCTATCAATATCCACAATTTGTCATCAATTGAAAATGCTTCGTACAATTCCACAATATTTGCGTGTTTAATTTCTGATAAGATGTCAATTTCGACCATATGATCGCTCAAATTTTCTTCGTCTTCCAATGTGCACATTTTAGCTGCAGCTAATCGTCTAGTTTCTTTATGCTGTGCTTTATAAACTTTTCCAAAAGCGCCATCACCCAATTCACCAACTAAATCCCAATATTCTTTAGGATCAGTGTCCATTCGAATGTTATCGTATATACGTTTCTTTTTAGCTTCTCCTCCACCAAAATGAAGGAGTTTCTTCATATTATTTAAAAATGACATTTTCCAATCGTTTTCACTCCTTTATTTTTATTAAATATAATATTACTCAAGGAATTCGAATAGATAATTTTATACATTTGACATTTCTCAAGAAAAAAAATTTATAATCTAATTACTTTTGGATACCTATGAACGTCATACACAATTGTCAAACGATGATAATGTCATAATTAAATTGAGTCTCTTACGTAATGAGTATCTATTTTAATAAGAGTCTCGAATTTAAATAAGCATGCGTTGAGTAGAGCGAAACCTGGTAGAAAAAATTAAAAAACAAGTTTTCCCTTCAAATTAAAAATTCAAAAAATAACGGAAATAATTTTTACTAGAATAAAAATATTACAAATATTTAATGTAAGTATGTATATACATAAAATTTCCTTTTTTGTTATCTAAAATTCATGTTCAATAGCAGACACAGAATTTTCTGTAATACATTCTAAAATAACATGCACTTTCAATTTAAAAAAGAAAAGCAATCGTATCATTGGATTGCTAGTCGTTTTTATATTTGTATGTATTTTTCCTTATTTTATTATTATATATACATTCGTAGAGGAATACTAAAATTTATTACTTCACTAATTTAATTCAAAAACTCCATTGACGAGACAAAATAATATTAGTCATCTTATTAAGAAACAATAAGCAAAGCTCGCCATTACAATTGTCAATTAATACACTTACTTTTTTTGACAAATTGTAATAATTTCAACAATATGTATACAACATATATTTTGAATTTGTAACTCAGTTATTTTTTAATCAACTTATTCTAAAATATTATGGCATTTGGTTTTGTATTTTTTTATACTAAGTGTAGCGTTTTCGGCTTAATGAAAGAACGGAATCAAAAATCAGCTGATTGTCAATAATTAAAATTGAACTTAGTTTTTAATTTTTAGCCTGTGAAGAGACCTGTAAATTATAAAAATGAACGTTGGCGGACAACGCACCAAAATACCAGGTTATGGTGTTTAACAGTCACTTTCTACAAAAACACTATTCAGCCCACTAAAATCAAATTGTTGAATGGAATTTTTGTGGTAAGTGACCGTCAGTCTTCCAAGTAAATTTATATACATATGTAAACAAAATTTTGTATGTAATTATTTTTCAAAATAATTACATACAATTATCATGACAACAAAATTTGGTTACCATGACATCGGAATTGTAATAATAGATTTACTGTACTTACCACAAAAATACCATTCAGCAATTTGATTTAAGTAGATTGAATGGTGTTTCTGTGGGAAGTGACTGTCAAGTACTTGGAGACGTTGACAAGCACTTCCCATACAAACGTCATTTAGCCATTTGATTTTATTTGGCTGAATGGTGCTCTTGTAAAAAAGTCAATCGCCATAATGCTTTCACACTTTATATACACTCACAGAAATAAAAAAAATATTACATTCTAAACTTTAATTTGACCTTTGGTTGACTTTGATAATTTCATTGGTTTAAGTGATTGACTGTTACTTCTTGCAGAAACCCCATTTAGCCAAATAAAATCAAATGGCTAAATGGCGTCTTCCTATGGGAAGTGACACAATCATTATGTGGAATAGCCTAACCGTTATAAAAGCCATTTAAACTCCCCAAAAGGAATGCTGCTTGTGCTCAGGTTTACATACATATACTTAGATTTTTATATTTATGCATACATACATAGATACGATTGATTGGTATTTGCAGTTAATAGTATAAAAAGAAAAAGTGAACTCAAGCAGATTCTAAGTTAGCTTCTGAACTTCTAAGTTAGCAGATGCAGCAAAAATTTTTTCGTTGAATTTTAATTTTGTCCTTCTAGGCACAGTTTAATTCTACTTTTAAAAGATTTATTACATAGTAATTTTTTTTTAATGTTAATTTTCAGTATCATATTATTACAAAACCAACTTACATATGTTTATGAGGAAAATTTTATATTCGTTATGCGTTAAAATAGATTGACTGATAGGTATTAATCGCGTGCCTTAAAACAACCTGAAACGAAATTAAAGAACCATTGAATAATTATAGAGAACTTTTTTAATTTTGTATGTACTACCTACATGGGTATTTCGGTAAAATATTGTTAACTTGAATTATTAAAATGAATATTTTGAACAAAATTTAAAATTTTGATAATTTTTATTCTCTGCCAGTATGTAATTATGTACAAAAAACAAAAAAAGGATTAGATGACAAAGTTGATTGCATTCACCTGCGTTTTAATATTTGTCTGCGATTAGTATAGTTTTTGAGTGATTTGTTTAAGAGTTAATAAATTATTATTCTTTTAAATGTTTTCTAATTGACCCTCAGGTGAATCATTTAACATAATGTAATGTATGACTCAATATAAGGTACATATGTAAAGAAAGTATATGTTGGCATGGCCCAACCGTATGATGAGCATCTATTTTTGGTTTATGTGCTTGTATATACGTTATACATACATTTGTATATATGTACATAACTCTTATGTACAAAGTAGATTTTGTAGGCGGAATTTATTAGAATATTTAGAATATGAAGTTGGATACAAAATGACGAGTCATTATTTTTGACAAACGCTATATCATATCAAGATTCAGATGGGAAAAAAATTCAATCATTTGCAGTTTTTATAATTTGATTTACATAAATCAAATAAAGAGTTAAGGATGTACATAAAATAAATATTTTTGAAATTCTATTCCTATATTCTGGAGGTTTTAATAAAGGTGAAGATGTAATATTGAGATCAATTACCCAAATACAATTCAATTGTAATTGTTGTCTGTACTTGTCTGAAATTTTATAGCTTCAAAATCTAATTTTATATATGTACATATTTTAGCAAAGAATAAATGTCTTTTAAAACTAAATTTTTATATATAGCATTTTCAGATTAAATTAACCCTTTTGCGAATTGAATTAACCTTTTTGCGAGTGGAATTAAACCTTTTGCGAATTGAATTAATCCTTTTGCGAAATAAATTAAACTTTTTTTTTTTTTGAAATTAAACCTTTTTCAAATAAAATTAAACCTGAAAAAAGATGTGAAAATCATGAAAATGAAAATCAATAAAATTTAAGCGACTTAATAAAAAAATCATGTTTTTCATATTTGTGCACGTAATATCATACGAGTATGTGTATATATATATATATATATGGGGATATATGTATGCATGTAACTAAATTACAGTAATTTAAATTTTACATTTATTCTTTCATAAAATAAAAAATAATTAATATCCATAATTTTATATGTGATTAAAATGCATTAATGTAAAGTTTACATTTAAACTATTTTAATATATGAATTTCTGATTTGAAAAGTTGGAAATGGACATGAATAATCTGCTCTAACCTTTCAAAAATAAGATAATCGTAAAACTCTTTTAATTTTTATAAGAAAAATGATCGATATTCACTAAACTACTTATTGAGAAAATCAGAATATTTATAATGAATTTCAGAATCTAGGCGTCTAGATTATTGAGGAATTCGTGTAGAAGACGTAAGAGTAAAAACCATAGACAACATTCAATTTTGAAATTTTTTACACAAAATTATTTTTAAAAATCTTATTAAGTAAAAAAGTATTCACTTTCCGGTTTTTGGTTTCAAACGGTTGGTTCTCTTATTTTAATTCTTATTAATAGAAAAAAGAAATCTCGTTGAAATATTCAGTTATATGGTTTTTGCTCTGATAGGTTCTTTTATCATAAATTACATACTTTCTTTCATTTACTGTATTTGGTGGGAAATCTAACTTGGTTAACTTTGTAGAAGAAAATTTAGAGGTTTCAGGAAGAAAATTTAAGGATTTTATATTAATATAATATAGTATACATATGTACATTGTTTTAAATTCAAAAAAAAAGATTTAATATAATCTTATAGAAATCCATTTTAATAAACTCATTGACATTGAGATGCTCCTTTCAATGTAATTTTATTTTTATATTTTATTTTGCAGACCAATAGCATTCAAAGGTAAAATGAATCCTGCACTTCTAAATGAAAACTAAAAACTAATTTGTATTAAATAAAAATATTCCATATCTTAGTTTTATAATTTTATGAAAAGTAATTACGTCATTTGGATTAATTTAAATTAAAGGTGTATATATATGGAGGTATATCTCTATGTTTACATGAATTTGTAATTAAACTACCTAAAGAAACATACTTCTTTTTGTATACTCCGTGTCCACGTACTATGTAGAGGAGAATAAATTAAAATATATTTTTATGTTAAAGTCCTCAAAGTCATCATAATTTTTTAAGGGCACGCAACAATTATTCATATTTTTGTTATTTAATATGCTTTTTCCTTTACAATGTCAGTTGTAAAATATTTATTGTACAAAACATGCCATCAAGATTGAATTGATGTCAACTAGATTTCGTTGAATCGAAATAGAGAAATTCACGCATGGTTTTAATTTTTTTTATATGATTTGCAGTTATAAAATTTAAATAATATATATGCATGTATAAATATAAAGTTCATAATAAAATTAAAATATATTCGTATTTGTAATCGTTTTATAGAATTTATTCTATGATTTTCAAATTCCTTAGAATGTGGTGGTGAACTTATATAATCTTAAATTTGGGGTAATTACAATTATATACATATGTACATTTATATATATGCTTGCTCTTCGTTTATTTAGTCACGTCCGTTAGTCCGACAGTACGATAACTCAAAACAAATGAAGCAAACACCAACAAACTTTCGGAAATTTTTTTATTTTTCAACGACGGCTTCTATTGTAATTGGGCCAACTGGAACGACGGGTTCGACTATCTGCTACACAACTTAAAAAGATTATTTTAAATATTTCAAAAACTAGTTTTTCTAATCAGATTGCCGGGGTATAGGTTATAATTCAGATCGATTAAGAGCAACTGAATTCAGATCGATTAAGAGCAACTTTTACACGTTAACACATAATTTTTAGTACCAATCATTTTTTTTTTATTTTTCGCTATATACTCATATTTAAAAAAAAAATTTTTTTTTGTCTATTTTCATATATTGCAACTGAGTCAATTAGACTTATCTAGAAATTATCCTACACGTTAGAAATTATTTTACACGTATAGAGAGAGTTGGGAG